AACATTGAAAACAGTCCAAAGCCATGTAGCAGAGCATATCATGCTTTAAAGTTCTTCTTTCCCCATGCTTACTCTTCACGTTCTCCACTCAGCATACTACAACAACACAACCAAAGTGGCAGTGAAGACGCTGAAGCCGGGAACCATGACGGTTGAAGCTTTTTTGGATGAAGCCAACATGATGAAGACTCTGCAGCACGACAGGCTGGTGCGGCTCTACGCTGTTGTCACCAAGACAGAACCCATCTACATCATCACTGAATTCATGGCAAACGGTAAATGCCAAAAGTCTTTAGAAAAACTAAACTGGTTATTATGAAATTTTGTGGCCTAATCACAGAGTCGACACTCCAGTATAGGCATAGATGCAGACATGCAAAGCACTGACGCTGTTTTCTGTTCTGTCTCGTCTTTAGGGAGCCTGCTAGACTTTTTAAAGAGCGACACAGGATGCAGACTGCAGCTGCCCAAGCTCATTGATTTCTCTGCACAGGTGATTACACCAATATGCTTCTTTGTGACCTCGCTGCTCACTTGTCTCACTACTGTGAACCCTGCATACTTTCACTTTCAAACATGAGGTTGTTCTGTCCCAGCATCACACTGGCAGTGTCCATCCATCCATCCATCCACATAATCTAATAACAGATTGTTATTATTTGCTTGTAATTGCTTGTAACGGGGGTGATTATTTTTCTTTCACATTTCTTCTGTTTTATGTAGGTTTTGATTGTTTTCCCTTTCACTCTTATGTTTAAGACTACACACCTTCCTCTTGCTCTGTTACAGATAGCAGAGGGCATGGCCTACATTGAGAAGAAGAATTATATTCACAGAGACCTCAGGGCGGCTAATGTCCTGGTGTCTGAGAGCCTGCTTTGTAAAATAGCAGATTTTGGCTTGGCGAGAATCATTGAGGATAACGAGTACTCTGCCAGAGAGGGTAAGTGTGTATGTGTGTATGTATGGGTATGTGTGTTTGCGCATATATGTGTATGTGCGTGTATGTTTGTGTCTATGTGTATGTGTGTGCGTGTGTATGAGAATTTGAACACGTCTCCACTTTTTCTGTGGAAGGGGGCTTTCCCAGCACAAATGAGACACTACCCTGGCTTGATGCTTGTGACATAGTGAAACAAAAAGCCCCTTTTGAGAAGTGGAAGCACCCGCAAAGATTTATGTTGAATCAGACACTTTTGGTTTCATGTACCAGTCGCTCCACTTTTGTCTCACTGGAATCACACCACAGTGACCAATACCTCTGATGCCCCCAAACTACACTACCTCCTTTCACACTCTCACAAGGTTAAAATGAAGCAGGGAGTCCTTTTGGTACAGCCAACATTTCCCCATCATTCGATTAGAAAAAATAAATAAATAAAATGTCAAAAATTAAACATAGTTTTAGAACTATTTTCAGTCAAATTTTGGAAAACTGAATTGTCTTTTCATAAAGTTTATACCTACGCAGTATGGTTTTGATTTCACACCTGTAACATGCCACAAACTGGAGGACAGCGGAGGACCAGAACCGAGCTAGGAGACTGATGTGTGGGGTTAACCACCATTTCCAAAACACTGATCATTTAGTGATTGTGACATTTCAAACATTTGGAATGAACAGGGTTCATGCTCAAATTGTGTACTTCAGCAATAAAGTCTCAGTCTTAGGCGTGGTCAGGGAGGTGACCGAGAACTGGGCTGCTTCTGCAGCTGAGCTTTAGAAATCGTTTTGATAAGCGGAACCGTATGGCAGAGCAGCTAGACAGAAGCCAGAGTGACTTAAAGACAGCCCACACCCTGCCTTTTTTCATACAGTGCATTTCAAGAATTACAAAAGGATGAGATAAAGATTCTGTCGTCAACTGAAACAGAGTGAAGTGTTTAGGCAGCAAAAACAAAAAGTGTGGTAAACAGCAGACATTCTGAAGAAACATCCTGCAGAGTTCAGAAACCTGAGACTTGGATGTCAGTTTGCCATTTAGCACGGTGGTGACCATTTCACTATAGCCAAGACAAGAGTGAAATGGAGTAGAATTTTTGTGGAAAGATGGCATGCTTGTCGTGTGCATTGTATTGGGTGAATCCCTTCTAATATAATGAAGAAAGGATTTACCAAAAGAGTCTGTGCAATGTAATCAATGAAACACTGAGGACGTGGAGTTCTTTTTTTATGAAAGGAGAATCAAGCAACAATGCTAACACTCTATCACCATGTCATCGATGACTGCTTTCATTACTTAACTTTTAACTTATATGGTGGGAATTTTTCAAAAACCTGTTTTGGCCTTTTTAATTGTGGGGGAAAAAAATCATTCATAGTTCATATTTTTCAAATTAAAGTAACTGTGCAGTAAAGTGCACGAGGAAGTGTCTGAATGCTATTTCTCAAGTGACTCATGAAACCTTATGAAACCCATGTGATCACTGGTCTGGACCCAGGATGCTGAAACTATTTGCAATTGACGTTTTGAAATAAATCCAGCTACACAGATATAATCTAAAACCTCATTTACAAAAACAGAACAGGTGATCTTTGGGATTGTGTGAGGGAATAATAGAATTATAATTTCACAGTGTCTGTTTGTGTGTGCATTCCACAGGAGCCAAATTCCCCATCAAGTGGACTGCTCCAGAGGCTATTAACTATGGCACCTTCACCATCAAATCTGACATGTGGTCATTCGGAGTCCTGCTCTATGAGATTATCACCTACGGGAAAATCCCTTACCCAGGTAAATATTAACTGCAGCACTGTTGATAACTGCTTGTGCATTTTAGTTTTTGGTAAATAAATAATGACATGGTGTCATGCTTTGCTGTTCTTCTGCACTTAAGTTTACCTAACTTTAAGACCTGCTGATAACCAGGTTAGTTTTTATTATGTCCTGCCATGTCTTTTTATCATGACTATATAAAATGTAATGCATTGTCATGGATTAAAGGGCCTTGACCTATTAAATTAAAATATTGGGTTCAATAATATGATGGAAATTCTAACAATACAGAGTTCAGATGGAGAACCGTTTGTATTAGGTATGTTTTACAAGTAATATTTATTCATTTATGGTTATTACAGATGACTGAAGCTAAACTAAAAGCTGATACTACTTGTAAAAAAAAGCACTTTAAATAACTAAAAATAATGCAAACTCAGAAAAAAAAAGAAAGCTAATTTAAATCATTGTGCACTTATAAAATGTATTCAGGAAATCATTTAAATTTAGTCCCTTTTTTGAACCCTGTAAACACATAGGCATCACAAGCCAATGTTTATTGAGACTCTGGTATATGTTTGTCGAGACTCAGGTCTCTACATGACTGAGTGAAGTGTTTGTGTTGATATTTTTATTGTATTATACTGGTCTGAACTTCATAAACCTCTCCCCTGACACAGCTAACTGTAACCATAACTTTTATGACCCAGCCTCACTGAGCAGTAAGGCGTTATGCTGAGAAAGACTGCCCTCTGCTGGTGACTTTTGTGTTCTACTTCGGGTTGAGAATGTGACGGCGAGTACAAAAAGGTTCTCATTGGAAGCCTTTCCAGCAGTATTTACACTAATTTGGTGTCTGCAGGCATGACTAAAGGAGAGGTGATGTCCTCAATACAGCGCGGCTACAGGATGCCTCGGCCTGACAACTGTCCCACTGAGCTGTACGATATCATGATGTCCTGTTGGAAGAACAGACCTGAAGACAGGCCTACATTTGACTACCTACAGAGTGTCCTGGATGACTTCTATACCGCCACAGAGGGACAGTACCAGCAACAGCCATAGATGGAAACAAAACTGGAGAGACTTTTGGCACATAATGCAAGCAGCTTGTAAATAGCTTTATGTTTGGACCTACTGGAGATATGTGATTGTATTTTCTATGTTTATATTCATGTATATATGATACATTCTGCAGTAAGCTGTGTGATATATTCACAGTGGACAAAATATAGTTTGCATGTTCCAGAATATAGTTTACTGCAGATTTTCAGGGTGTGTAAATATGAGGTTTTGTGCAGTTAAGCCTCGGTGATCTGGAGGAATTTTACAGAAGTAAAATTGTATCATATTATTTTTATTTTTGACACTGGAGTCTTGTTAATAAGTGTTTCAATAATTAGGGTGTTTGTGAGAGTTACTGAACAAACAGCAGGCATTATACAAAGAATTTGTGAAGCAATGATATGTAGGTTAAGAACACACTTTGCACGCAGTGCAAATTTTAAGTGGTGATATTTTGGGTTTACAAGCGATGGGATGAGTTTCTATGAGTTTTTGAGCATTGATTTTTCATAAATTTTAATTACTTTACAAGAAGAAATGGTAAATGAATATACACATTTTTACTCAGCCATACCACTCTCTTCAAAAAGATTTACATGACGATTATGATTACTCTGCATTTTTATTTTGGCATGAGAACTTACTTCTTCACAAGCTGCTCTTACTAAATTAAAACAACGGTTTTCTTGTTTTTGTTGCTTACTGTTTCAGAGACTTGTTGATGCCCCACTTCATATTGAAGTGCTCTAGCTCTTGCTTGTTTTTTTCTTCATCACATCATCATTTCAAGTAGGCTTTGTTATTAAAAGGAGATTTATGTTTCTTTTTAAAAAAAATAAAGTGCAGTAATTGTTATGCTGTATTGAATGCCTTTGTACAAATGTGAAAAGAGCTTTAATAAATGCAGCAGGTAGCATTGTTTCCTTGGTGACAAATTTGTACACTCTAATGAATTTATAAAATTGGAGATAATTAATATATTCAATTATAATTCAGTTAATTAATTCTATATGTGCTTGTCAAACGTAAGTACTGTACCTCGATAAGTTTTTTTTTTCTTTCCTTAAGTAACACAAAGATGAAAAGAAGGAGAATTACTACTACTACTAATGATGATAATAATGATGATGATACAAACTGTACTGAAGTTTAAGGGAACAAAATGTAGATAACGACTAAATATGGAAAAAGACTATTATTTTGAAGCGTCATCTCGTTTCCTGCTATGGTCACGTGGTTTTTCAAGATGGCCGCGCCCACAGCGCTGTAGCAGCTGATTGTGTCCATGCGAGCGGGGTTTAAATGACAGTTGAGGAGCAGCAGGTTACAACTGACATCCCCGCAGAGAGACAGAGGAGTTTCTGAAAGGCTGTCCCATCCTCAGCACCGCCAACATGAGCAAGCCAGAAAATCTAATCCTGTAAGTACTTCCTTCTTTGTTTCTCGAAACAAACTGCCGCTTGTTACATTGTTACATTTAAGGTTAGCATTTTGGCTGTTTAGCCGTCTAAAAAGTGACCTTATGAAACCCCCCCTTGTCATTGTTATGAAACATTTCTTCCTATTATGGGTCAGTTATAGAAACACAGGCCTCATTCCTTAAAGCTACGTAATCCAATGCCAGAGCGAAGTCGCTTCCTCTTACAAAAAAAAAAACCTCATTCAGAAATCCAGCAGTCTAATAATCTCTTGTTCATATTTAGAGATGAACTTATTTTGCAACATGAATTAGTGCTTTAAGCAAATTCTGTGGATCGTCTGATAAATTCGGCAGAGCTAATAATGTAAAAGTCTTATTAATCTTTTTGGTTTGTTCTATTTAACTAGCTTCAACTCCGAGAAAGCCAGGCGTCATTACAAAACGTATGATGCCTTTTGTATGGCCTGCTTTAACAACGTGCTAACCTTATTTACAATCAATATTGTATGGCTGTAATAATGGTGCTAAAGATACAGAGGGCTGTTAAAAAATAAAAAGAAAGTTTATCCAGGTCATTTTACTTTAAGTCAGTTTACTAAAAGTGAGTGATAGTGTCAGCTGAACACAAAAAAACTCCTACGGTTCTGTCACTCTAATGGGAATAGTTTTTTTATTCTGACATTTTTACATATCGTGTGGAAGCGGAAGCATCTAAATGATCCCATACAGAATCCATGACAAACTCTGATAGTGTGTTTTTATAACCCACACGTTTAATTCTTAAGAGTCTAACAGCAGACTTGCATCTTTTAAAGTTAAGTGTAGCAAGCTAAACATAATTGGCTATCTGTGAAATGTTTTTGTGGTCCGTCTAACAGTTTCATGTCAGAGTCTGAATTAGATTAAGGTTGTGATACATTACTGATCCATCCTAAGCACTCCTGTATTTAACTGTCATTTCTCCTGCTGGGAGAAGATAAGAGAGCAGAGGACGGTTATCTCCCAGAATCGCTCTTTTGGTGAATGCCCTTCAGCTGGATGCCCAGAGTGATTGCAGGGGAAAGGGAAGGGTGGGCCTTTATTTTTAGATAACACAAGTTTGCGGCTGTATTGTAAAGAGGTTATGACACTATCAGCTAAGCTCCATTCCCTCAACTATGTAATATAAATTGAAATTGCCAGTGTGCTTTGGCCATGCCGCAAATATCTTAAAATTCTGTCTAAATTTGTATTATTTTTATTTTTCGATTCTAACATGAAGTGCTTTCTACCCAGCCCCAAAGACTTTCCTCAGCTAAAGAACGACACATTCCTGAGAGCGGCACGAGGAGAGGAAACCGAACATGTCCCAGTCTGGTGTATGAGACAGGCTGGCAGATATCTACCAGGTACAGGCTTCAGATCACTTCTTTCGTCTCTTGTTTCTGACATGAATAGTAGCACTGTACTATCAAATGTGCTACACTGATTACCCTTAATATTCGTGATCATGTTTTCAGGTTTCATATTGTAGTATTTCACTTTCTGCATGACCATAAGCATGAGATTCACATCCCTGATAACCACTAACTCCCTGTTATTGAGTCTTAACGCTGATCTGTAGTGGTTTTTTTTTTTTTTTTTTTACTCTAATCTGCAGAATTCCGTGAGTCCAGAGCAGGGAAGGACTTTTTTGAGACATGTCAGTCACCAGAGGCTTGCTGTGAGCTCACTCTGCAGGTACAGACCTGGATTCAGAGGGGGGAGAAAAAAAAATCTAATTTCACAGTGTTAACATCAAGTCAGCAACACCGTTATGTGGTGTGAGATGATGGAGTGGTTGTTACACCACCCACAGGGTACCAACAAGAATAACTTATCCCAATTTTTTTTTCTCTCCCCCCCC